TTTGCCCCTCTTGTGATCATTGGGTGTGGATGTTGATAACCCTGTGTTGGTTGCTGCATCGCTGGCTTCCCCTTGGGGTTTTCCGGGGTTCGATTCCCTTGGTGACATCTTGCTCCCTCACTCGACGTCCTCGCAAATGTGTCGGCTCTCGTCTGGGGTTTTGGGACCAATACTCACTAGTCCAGTCAGGGTCATTCAGGGTCAGGGTCCGGGTCCAGTCTCCAACTCTTTGTTGGGCTTACAGTATGGTTTGGGAGTTTGCGGCCATGTAGATAGGGGTTCATATACCTGTTTCCCCTGGTCCAGCTGTTGCTTCGGGTTCTGGTACTATTAGTCCAACGGGGGAAGGGTGATCCTTCTTGCTCCTTGATGGCCGGTCCAGCGTTGATTTCAGGTGCTGCTTGCTTAGTGTCCAAACCTGGGTGTTTTTCTGTGGTTCTGCCTCTTCAGTGGATTGGACAGTAATGTACTTCACTGGTTCAATCTTCTCCACTCTTCACGTTTGGCGTTTTTGATGCGTGTGTATCTCCATCTCAATGATAATCAGGTGGCTGGTTTAATGGTGTCCCACTTGCAGTCTTCCTCCACTTTGTCCCTTTATTGTTGTTCCTTGGTTCCTGATTGAGTTGTTCTGTCTTTTCTTTTTTGGCAAAAACCTTGCCATAAATTTTTTCTTTGCAGATGTTTGGCTAACTGTTTTGATTGACAGCTGCCGAGGCTTCACTGGTTGTGGCAGTCACATCTTACAGTTGGTTGTGGCAGACACATCACACCAAATACCTGTCTATCTCGTCCTGTAATATAGAGGCCGAGGTATTTTTATAATATAAAAAAATAGAGGCTCATGGTATTGGGGGTGCTATATTAAGTTGGATTAGGGCATGGCTATTCCAAAGGAAACAGAGTTAGTATAAATGGGGTTAAGTCAGAGTGGGATAATGTTGTTAGCGAAGTACCTCAAGGCTCTGTCCTGGGACCTCTGTTGTTTATAATATATATAAATGATTTAGATTCAGGTTTGAGTAGCAACATTTGCAGATGACAAAAATTGGTAGGGAAATTAACACGGAAGAAGACTCACTATCACTTCAAGTTGATCTAAATAGGGTTTTGAAATTGGTCAAGAGATTGGCAGATGCAGTTTAATGCTGATAAATGTAAAGTTCTGAGGCTAGGTAATGATGATAGTTTCACGAGCTAAATGGTGTTGAGATTGCGAAGTCGGATTGCGAAAGGGATCTGGGAGTTATGATTAGTAAGAATTTAAAACAAAAGTATAAATGCATAAATGTTCGTAATAAGGCAAATAGGACACTGGGATTTATTAATCGAAGCGTTAGTAACAAGACACCTGGTGTGGTTCTTCAGCTATATCTTTCTCTGGTTAGGCCCCATTTAGATTGTGCAGTTCAGTTTTGGTCGCCATACTATAGAATGGATATAAATTCACTTGAATGTGTCCAGTGTAGGATGACTAAGTTCCCCAAATTAGAAATCTTTCATATGAAGAAAGATTAACAAAGCTTAAATTGCATTCACTGGAAAGGCAAAGAGTTAGGGGTGACATGATAGAGGTTTACAAGTGGATGAATGGACATAACAAAGGGGATATTAATAGGGTATTAAAAGTATCAACACAAGACAGAACACACAACAATGGGTATAAATTGGACAAGTTTAGATTTAGGAAAGACTTGGGTAAATACTGGTTTGGTAACAGGGTTGTTGATTTGTGGAACCAATTACTGCGTAACGTGGTAGTGGGATCCCTCGATTGTTTCAAGTGCGGGTTGGACATGTATATAAGTGGGATTGGGTGGTTATAGATAGGAGCTGCCGCGCATGGGCCAATAGGCCTTCTGCAGTTACCTTTGTTCTTATGTTCTTATATTTTATTGGCCTTCTTGATTATCAGCTCTTCATAATGCTAATCATATGAATATAAACTTCTGTCATCTCAGTTGTCATTGTTGACCACCTAACTGCGCAGGCTACTTCAATGCTCATTCACAAAAACAAATTGTCTGAAAAATGTATTTCTTCTGGCATTGTTAATTGGCGTCCAGAAGCGGATGATTCCAAATAATAAGTCTACCTATCGTAGTTAGGCTGTAGTGGCCTAGAGAAGCTGCATTTTTATTTTTGGGTAGAAACAAGGTAAGGTACCACAGGAATAACTTGGTCCATTTATTTTCATTATTTTTTTATTTAGCTTTTTATGCTCGCATGTATTGATCTGTCAATACTGGTATTCATTATGAACAACTTTGGAAATATATATGTAAAGATGTGTATAAATATACATGTCCTGTATTTTTCATTATATATACGAGGCTAAATCTTCTAATTACTTATCACTCATTTTGCCTGTAAATATATTTTTGGAAATCACTCATTTGCTGTTAAAAGTTTAATAGTCCCTTGCATGGCTGCCCTGCACTTTCATACAATGGATGGTGATGCGCTAGACATGGAAAGCAACATGTAAAAGACCTGACGGCTTAATGTTTAGGGAGCATAACCAAGCAATTACAGCATTGGCCAGAACAATAATAGGATGGATTATGAGAACCTTCTATTCAGGGATTCCATCACAATGCTTATATAGTACTATTCAAATGAGTTGTGCTGTCATGCCTTGAGTACTGCTTGATACTCTTTCCCCCTATAGAGCAGGAAAGACGGTTGAAATGGAAGGAATGCAGAGAATGTGTGCGGCATGCATTGACATGATCAAGCACCAAAATTATTAGGACAGACTCAAAACAAAATGTACTTTCTGAAAAGGAGAAGAGAGGTATCAAGTAGATGGAATATATACTGTACATGTACATGCAATATTCCATGTACATACATTGTACATGGAAAATACTGGAAGGCCAGGTCCCATATTTCCACAGTAAAATAACATACTGAAGTGAACAATATAGATGGAAATTGCAGAATAGTTAGTATAGAGTAGAGGTGCCATAGACACAGTCAGAGAATAGTGTATGAACATCAGAGGTCCATGGTTGTTCAGTATCCTCCCATCAAGTATAAGAAATATTTCTGGTACATAAGTGGGCTTGAAGAGAAAACTGGACAGTTTTCTGCAAGAAGTGCTGAACCAAACGGGCTGTAGTGGATATGTGGGCCTGTGGGCTGCCCCAAGCAACAGCCTGTTGGACCAAGTTGATGTAGTTTAGTAGTCACAAGAACCCCCTTTAAGGGGGCGTCTGGTTGGCATCTGGGTCCAAAAATGCAAAAATGAAAACTCGTTTGATTTCAATCAAACTTTTTTGACAAGTTCTATATGAAAAGTGTTTCATCTGGTCCAAGTTTCAGCATCGTAGCATAAATAGGAAGGGAGAAAAAAAATATTGTAGTAGTTGTGAAAATTATGCAAAAATGGTCAAAATCGATTATCAATCAAAAGTGTCAACTAAAATTATAACTACGACTCTTTGCTATCACAATATCATATATTAAACAAATATTATAATTAGTTTAATTGGAAAAAGTTTTTAAGAATTTTTTTTTTTTTTTTTTTTTTTTTTTTTTTTCTCCCATTTTTTTTCGGGCGATTTGCATCAAACTTACACACCTGACTGTACGTAAGCCTATCTGTAATGATGCCAATTTTGGAGAAAATTGGTTGATGTCAACCTCAGCCACAGATTTTAGAACCTTAGACTTTATTAATTTCTGTTTTTTTTCAATTGACACAAACGTTTACAAAACTGATTTCTTTTTTATTCAATTTACATGAAACTTACACAGTATATATGGAGGGCATGTCTCTACATTGGGGGGGCTTTCATTTTTCTCTAAGTTCATTTATTGATTTTATAATAGCAATAAACATGCCATATTTGCAAAAAAAAAATTTGGGGAACTTTGAACATTTGTATTAGGAAAACTAAAGATGTTTTGGAAATTCTAAAGCCCCAAATCCTTTATTATATGCTAATGTGTCAGAAAAGTGTCACAGAATAATTATATCTGAAACGTGTGTTCTGAAGTGTGGACTTGAAAATGTGTAAAAAACGTTGAGAGAAAAAAAAAAACTCCCTTTCTATTTATGCTGCAGTACTGAAACTTGGGACAATTTCAGCACTTTTCATATACAACTAGAAAATTAATATTGGTTGACATTGAACAACTTTCATCTATAATCCTCTGACGCCCCCTTAAGTACAATTCAGGTACATTATCACAATTGCATTAAACACCATGAGGCCCTGAGACCTCTCCTAAATCCATACAAGCATATTCCTAATACAGTGAAGTCAGTTTTGTTTCAATGGATGTTGTCCTATTTACACTTGTCCTATTTAGCCCCACACCCCACCCCACATCTGTTTCACCCCCCTTTCCATATGCTCTTGTACACCACTCTTATTTAATCATTGTCAATGTATCCATCCATCCCTTGTGCCATCTTTCAACCTGTCTAGTTCTGTCCAGCCATCATTCATTTTCTGTTTCTCCACTTATGTATAATGAATTTGTCTATATAGAAAATTTTCTTAAGTTCAATTAACATTTGGAGAATATTTATCAACAGTACAACCCAGCGTCAGATGACCTGCATCTGGATGAGTCTCGTCTTCTCGCGAGGAATGTCTCTCCTTTGAGCCATCTTTCATTTTAATTTCTGTCTAATTATTTCTTCTTCCTTCCATTTTTCTCTTAAGAAAAACTGTAGCCTACTTTATTTACTCATAGACTACAGTTCACTTTTCTGTGCTCTAATGATAAATTAGGCTCGTATTGTAATTGGCAACCTTTAGTACATTACTTTCGGGGTTACCGACAATAGTCAGATGCGGTATGGTTGCAGCCTCTAACCAGTACACGGTACAGGTCTTTTTAAAATATCTACAGAATTATTAATGACTTGCTGGGTTTGCACAAATGCCTTGATATTTTGCTTATTCCTTGATAAGCGTTGCTCATAAAAAGCTTTTGAATTTATTAAATGTTGTAATTTTAATGTTGATCAATTTTCTCTGTAGGGTGCTTTAAACAGAGCCACTGGTGCCACTGCCATGAATGCCAGATCCAGTCGATCACATGCCATTTTTTCGTTGCACATAGAGCAGAGGAATATAAAAAAAGGGTAAGTAACCTATATAATTACATTTACTTTATTACGTATTCTGGTAGGGATACATTATAGTTTTCTTGTGCTTTTATTTGTTTTGTGTTTCCCACTCAAGATTTTCAGTGCATTTTATAAACACTTTTGCTGCCTGAAGCCGCAATATGCGGCATAAAATCAAAACAGTGTGTGATAACGCAAACGGCGTCATTAATTTAACAAATTATAAAAATCCAACCTATTGTCCGAATAATATTGGACTCGTTTTAAAATGCGCGCCAATGTCTTCCCATATTCTCTGTATACCCCACGGGGCATGCCGACCTCGGCGTGTGGGCGCCCACCCATGCTGGCGCTCACTGTTCTTGTGACCTCACTCGTGACAGCCGCGGCTTTCCCTCAAGTCGAAAAGTTTCCCCATTCCGATTATTTTATCTCGGGTATTTGTTGTTACCAGCTTTATAAACACTGCAAATTGACTTCAAGATGGATATTGATCAAGAACATAGCCAATCCATGATGAAAGAAGTTATATATATTATATATAACCTGTGTATAGAGTGTAATAACAGCAAAACTATTTGTTTATTGTTTTATGAACATAATAATTGAATCGCTAATATGCACACCATACTTTTGAGTATAGCGATGATTCACCCCTTTTATTATATAAATATATCACAATACACATTATTGAATAATATTACTGCAAAAAACTAAGAAAAATTGAAATAATTAGGTAATAATATGTTTGTGGCAACTCCCACCTGTCAGCTCGGATGACGCTGACCGGCTCTGACGACTGCTCTATCAACTCCCACATTTTGCCAGACTTCCTTGGCCTATTGCACCTAAAATATGTCACCTTCAATTTATTTTTTCCCGTGCTCTGGAAATACAAATTAACATTTTTAGAAGACGAAATAATTTTTTAGAATTTTTTTTCTTGCGCACAGGGATGTAAATCTCCTCAGGACCCCTTAGCAGCTTAAGGGTTAAAATACAGTACTCTTAAATGTGAAGGAAATCGCTGTTGGTAAAGTAAGTACAATTTTCCCTAGGAAATGGAAGTGATAGGCAAGAGATTTATTTATAAGCTAATGCGGGTGTTTTGGTCTTTGCAGAGAGAGTATTATTAGTTCAAAATTCCACATGGTTGACTTGGCTGGTAGTGAACGAGCCAAGAAGACGGGAGCAACAGGCGAGAGGTTCAAGGAAGGAGTGAACATCAACAAAGGCTTGTTGGCTCTTGGCAATGTGATCTCTGCTCTCTGTGAAGAGGGGAATAGAGGTCACATTCCCTACAGAGACTCGAAGCTTACCAGACTGCTGCAAGGTATGGCTGGGGCAATTTTGTCTGGCATTGTGAAAAATTTTGTATTTTCTATCCTAAGTGTTTCCTTAAGTTGGGGGTTATATTGTTTGTATATAGGAGAAAGTTTTTAAATAAAGCAAGATAATTTTACACACCATAATTATATTTTTAACATGTATGGGAGTTTTGTCTATTTTGGCAGCATGTACTAGTTTCATACTCAATTTACTGTTTGTCATTGTCATTCATTTAAATACATTTCTAATGAATTCTTGTCTTCACTGTAACAGATTCTTTAGGTGGTAATTCTCATACTGTGATGATAGCATGCGTGTCTCCCGCTGACAGTAATCTTGAAGAGACTCTGAGTTCTCTGCGTTACGCTGACCGTGCTCGTAAAATAAAAAATAAACCGATCATAAACAGAGACCCCCAAGCTGCCGAACTGGCCAAGTTGAGGCAACAGGTAGGCAACTGCAATTTTTATTAACAAAAGTATAAAATAATTACTTAGTTTGGTCTAAGTACCATGTATATTAACTGTTAAAAACCATTCATGAGAGTCATGTATAAAAGCAATTACTATTCTTCAATTGTTTTCATGATTCATTTTAATTTGTAGGTTCAGCAGTTACAAGTACAGTTGTTGGCATCAAGCAGTGGAGGCGGAGCAGCAGCAGCAGCATCGGGTGATGAAGTAAGTACCGAACACAGTTGGTGTTGCCAAGTAAGGTAGAAATTATATTTCCTTAAGTTTAACATGAAATTGCTTAGGCTTAGAAACATACCAACTTGGGTGAAGTACATGCAGGGGCAAAATAATTATCATCCATGTTTTCTTAGCAGTCATCTTCCAGTACACAAGGCAAAGGTTGGTAATGTAACATGACAGTATATGTACATCCCGCAGTCAATATAACAACGAACAAGTAAAATATAATGTCTCCAGACTGGTATACTTAAAGTATTATATTTAAAATACAGTAGTTCTTCTAATCAGGCTGAATAAATCTTAGGTGAAAGTCCATTGTGTCTAAAATTTCTAATATATTGTGTAAATATGCATATTCATAAGTATTAAATAATTTGAAAATCACTGGTTCTTTTATACGTATTAAAATCAATTGAAAATGAACTGGAAATCTCAGATTTCTAGACCATCTCACTTGGTTACCTATACCCTAGTTGGTATTAGGATAGATGGAGCATCCGTTAGCATAACTGATGCTGAAAATGGTTTGGTGTAAAAAATATGTTGGAAATTTAATCATCCAAATGGCAATGACTGAACAATGTCCAAGACATACACATAGATAGGGGCTAGCACAAGTACTCTGCAGCACGATAGTGTCGTTTTGATTATGCCATGTGGTGTAGAGTTCATGATTATCATTTAAAGAGCTCAGACTAGCTTTATATCTTCATAAAGCACATCACATTCTGTCCATGGTTGGACAGTTACGGGGTTAATGTAGAAGTTAATTCGTGAGTGACTATACCAGTGACTATCCTGATAGGGTGCAGTGGATCAACTTGATGGCTTCTGTGAAAAGCTACTGTCCTGGTTTTTATCACAAAAACACAACCTAGCTAGACAGCCCACAATAGAAGAACAGTCTTACCACCCTGCTTGGCTCTTCTCTAAAATTCAGACACCATTCGGAGTCCAACTTGATTTTCGCTGGACGACTAGCAGTGGCATAGACCTACGGACCTAGCCTAGCCCCTATGGATGGCATAGCCCCAGACTGTACGAGAGTTTGAGGGTAATTGGGTTAAGTAAATGGGTATCAGGAGTTCCTCTATTGTCCAAAAATCTAACACCAGCATTAGTCAGGATTCTAACACTATGCATTTTATTTTGACTAATGAGGAGAGGTACTGGATATCATTAGATAGGCACCTGAAGAGGTCAGTGAGGAGGGAGATTGAGTATGCAGTTGCACCTAATCTGCATGTGGTTTTCATGTGCTTTCTTCTGAGACAGCAGATGCAAAATTGTCAACTAATCACAGGGAAGGAGGCGGCATTTTTATTTTTAAATAGTTAAAATCTCGATCACTATTTAGAAAAATATTCTAAAAAAAGGGTTGAACTGTTTATTTATAAAAAATAAAAATAAACACTGGTAATTGCTTCCACCTTTTCTGGAAATGATGTCCAGCATGTTCCAGATAATAAACACATCCATATAGTAGAACAATATAGTTGAACTCTGCCAAAAAACTGTTGACAAAAAACTTAGTTGACAAAATCTATATATTTTGAAATTTAGTATTAATACAGTATATGAAATATGAACCACTTAATCAAAGTTTCATCAGTGATTGTAATGAATTTATTACAGGTTGTTGCTCTTTTGACTCAAAATAAAATGTTGCAAGTAGAAAATGAGAAACTGGCTCGAGCTCTTCAGACTGCAAATGACGAAAATACAAATATGGCTGAAATAGCTCTTATGGTAAGTACTAATATAAATGTTTAATTACAAACTGTTAAGTCATCTTGGGAAAAATATTGCAATCTTTTTATGATTTCAAAATTTTTTCAGTTCAATTAGAGATAATTTTATCTATTAAGTGTAAATCATATTTGAGTACGTCTGTTACGATGAAACCCTGAGGCGACCGTGACTAAAATATGCATAAATATCACTAACAATGAAATTAAATGCCTTCTGGGCATTTCATGAGGCCACAGAAAGGTGTTGGATGCAAGTTGATAAATAGTAATACTGTGGATAAAGCACTGAGAGATGACCATGTTGAGCAGATGGATGGTGTGATAAGAGGCTAACAAGGAAGACTATGAGAAGGATGAGCTAACATGGTAACTGTATTTGGTTGGGAACATGGCTACCTACCTGCCTGTTACCTACCTGTTGAAGATTTTGGGGAACAATGTTCCCACTGTCCGATCTCTGGTTGGACTTCCTGGTTGCAGGTCTGATCCACCAGGGTGTTTGATGCAGCTGCTCACAGCCTGACGTATAAGTCGCAGCCTAGTTGATTAGGTACCCTTTGAAGGTGCTTGTCGAGTTCTTTTGATGGAATTAGATGGAATCGGTTTAACATTTATATCCTCAGAAATGAATGCTTATGTATTGGTAATGTAATATGTATTACTGACTTGTAAAAGTTCTCTAAATATGATTTATGAATAATTATATGCAGTGTTCAAATTAAGTGATTTGTCAGGAATTTAATTGTCTTTGTTCATGCGTAAGTATCCACTTGATTTAAGGACCTATCTGGGGCTATACACCTGTGAGAATATGGAAGTTCACATTGCTTTGAGTGAATGGTTGTGCATATCAGGAGCAACAGTGTGGATTTTGTTGCATGGTGCACTTGCATGTGCACAGACCTTAAAGGCTTTGTTGTGCATTTGGTGCTATGATGGCTGTCGTAGCTTAGTTATGAGGGATGCTTCAAGGAGTAGAAGTATAGCCATCCAAGTATATATTATTCAGGGCTGGTGAAATGAGTAGTGGAGTTGAGTGGTACAGTAGCTAAAAAATGAGAGTTTGCGTATTGCCCATGGGACTACCTGGGCGCTAGAAGTGAGGTCACCCCACTAGGTGTAAGGTCACACGTCACATGTGCACCTCTTTTACAGCCTACAAGGAGCTTCTTTCTTTACGGGCTATTCAGGCCTGTGCCACCTCTTGGGTGGCTTAATCTTTATCAATCAGCTTCTGTCTCTTCCCTAACTGTTATAAGAGCTATATTGGCATTGGTCAGTTCAGAGAGCTGATGTCTCATTGGATTAAGCATCAACGATCAGCCTACACGGGTTTTGGGCTAGCTCATCCATGTTGGTGTGGCTGACCCTCATTTTGTGTAGTGTTGATGCTTTTGGATTTGGCCAAATTTAACACGTCTGGTAAATTTTAAAGTTCTTAATAATGTTAAAATAAGTAAAGAGTAAATGTTAACGTTCTTAATCTTTATTCATGCTTATTTGGCATGTATCCTACAAAATCGCACAGGTTGTGTAGCATATATAAGAGAACTGAACTGAGAAACTAGGAGTGATAGCCAGTAGTGTGTTGACCCTTGTGAACAAAGTGTTAGGAGTAGCAGCCTGTTAAATCGTTCATTATCTGGGACATCCATAGTTTGGCAGTGTCCTAGTGTTGACACAGGAGGCACTGAACTACAGGTCAGTGTCCCTAACTTGTATACCATGCAAGGTGATGGAGAAGATTGTATGAAAAACTAGTACACCTGGAGCGAAAGAACTGTAACACATCAGCAGGGGTTCAGGAATGGCAAATCTTGCTTCACAAATTTAATAGAATTCTATGACCAAGTGACAAAAATTAGGCAAGAAAGAGAAAGATGGGCAGATTGCATATTTTTGGGTTGCCAGAAAGCCTTTGACTCGGTACCCCATAGGAGATTTGTTCATAAGTTGTAAATGCAAGCAGGAGTAAAAGGGACGGTACTCCAATGGATAAGGGGTGAGATCTCAGTGGCGAGGCAACATCAGTGGAGTCTTGCAGGATTCAGTCCTTGGATCTATTCTGTTTCTGATATATGTAAATGGTCTCCCAGAGGAAATAGACTCGATCCTTTCAATGTTTGCGGATGCAAAATTATGAGAAGGATTAAGATCGAGGAAGACAGTAAGATGCTACAAGATGATCTAGACAAGCTGAAGGAATGGTCCAATAGATGTCTATTAAAATTAAACCCAAGTAAATACAAGGTAATGAAGCTAGGTGGAGGAAACAGGAGGCCAGACACAGGGTATAGAATGGTAGACAAAGTCCTACATGAAACTGACCGAGAGAAGAATTAGGAGTTGATATCACACTGAAACTATCTTTTGAAGCCCACATCAAAAGAATATCAGCACCAGCATATGTGAGGCTGGCTAATATTAGAACTGTCTTTAGAAACCTGTGTAAGGAATTATTTAGAAACTTGTATTCCACATATGTAAGTCCAGTCCTGGAGTAAGTGGTTCCAGCATGGAGTCCATACTTTTCAAGCAGAAAATGAAGCCGGTGAAGGTTCAAAGGTATGTCACTAGACTAGTTCCAGAACTAAGAGGTCTGAGTTAAGAAGAAAGGCTGCATGAATTGCACCTCATGTTGCTGGAAGACAGAAAAGATCTCAGGGGAATTGACAGGGTAGTGAAAGGCAGATTATTTCACACTGGTGGTACTCACTCGAAGGTGACACAGGTGAAACTGAGTACTTATTTGAACCACAGAGACAGTAGAAAGAACTTTTTCAGTGTATCTAATAAATGGAATGCATTAGGCAGTGATGTGGTGGTGGAGGCTGACTCCATACACAGTTTAAAATGTAGATATGATAGAGCCCAATAAGCTTAAACCTGTACCCCAGTAGATTGGCAGTTGAGAGGTGGGACCATAGTGTCGCAGCTTAACCCCCGGCAAACACAACTAAGCAAGTACGTGTGTGTGTGTGTGTACAAGCACAATGAAATCACATTAACTTGATGTATCAATGAGAAAATTAGTAAGAGCTATGAGGAGGAATCGAGTCTGCACGCTTGGTACTGCCAAGCACATGCCCTAAACCACTACACCACGACCTGTTAAAAGCAATACAACCTGGGATTCCACTGAATCCTATAGGGGTCCTTTGGTTTCCAGGAGGTAGAACTCCAGGATCACAGCCAGGGTGTATGGGGACAATGCCTGAAACCCCTGATTGGGCTAAAGTTGAAAACATTTTGCTGAATATTTTCAAACAGGGATAAAGGCACAAGGTGAAGTTTCCACTTCAAAAGTTAATATTACATGGACAAAATTATTGCCAATTAATCACAGCGGATCCTCTGTAATTGGTTTATTGAAAACATTGTAAAATGCAATTATCATACATATGGCATAGGATCTTAAGGATCACTGCGTCACACATGGCGACTACACCAAAATACAAGCTGCCAACCTGGAACTCAAGTTTTATCCTAGCTATCTGTTTACATCCTACATAACAATCCTGTTGAAAATTCCACTTACATGGAAATATCGGATAGGAATATTGAGTAGACATCATTTTCTAGTACCAGTACTCTACTGTGCAACAAAAGTTTCGGCAGTGTGGGTTGACCACTCCAACACACGGCGGAGCGACCACCACCTAAACCAGTTCTGACCACAAGTGTGTGTTATCCCTCTGCTCTCATTGAGGTTTTTCCAACACTGGCAGAAATTTGAAATATTTGGTATATATTCATATTGTAGTTTATGTCGCATGGATGAGTTTTGCCTTTGGGGGAACTCCACTTGTGCTCTTTTCAAACATAGTATAAAATGTTTTTCTTCACTAGTATTTATAGAATTTAAAGTCCAAATAGCCCAATTCTTTACAAATATGAAACTTGCTAATAATCTTAATAATGGTCTGTGTTCTTATTTATACCCATAATTTGTAGATTTTCAAATTGTTACTTCTTAGGCTGAAATGTCCAGAGATCGCATGAAAGTAAAGTTAGAAGAATTGCGAGAACAGACTGGTACAACAGTAGAAGCTTTGAACAAAACATTGGATGCCACTGCTAATCCACAGTATGAAGGTCAAATAAACCTGGTTAAGCAGTTGCAATTGAAGATAATAGAACTACAGGTAAGTGGTTCTATAAATTTTGTGATGCGGTTTACTGTCATGTTAATTTCATGGAGTAATTATGGGTTATGGAAGTGCTGGGTTGGGTGACAGTTGTTTTCCATCTCTTGTACATAATTTGAACATATTTGTAGATTTTTATGAACTAAAACTACTGGATAGATATGGCTTGAACAATCTCTTCCTTCAGCTATTTCCACTTGCTGCTTGCCTGTTCAGAGAACAATAAACTCTTTATATCTCTTTAAGACTGAATTGTGTGTCCCATTTCTTGAGGTAATCTTGAGATTGATTTTGGGACTTAGCATCCCATGGCCCGGTCCTCGACCAGGCCTCCTTTTTGTTACACACCCCCAGGAAGCAGCCCGTAGCAGCTGTCTAACTTGCAGGTACCTATTTACTGCTAGGTGTAACAGGCATCAAGGTGAAAGAAACTGCTCATTTGTTTCTGCCTCCACCAGGGATTGAACCTGGAACCTCAGGACTACGAATCCGAAGCGCTGTCCACTCAGCTGTCAGGCCCGGTATCGGTTTCCACTGATACCCTACGTCTTTTTAATTTAAATAGGCTTACTTTGTCCATTTCATTTATTCCCTCTTCCTCCCCCCTCAAGATTTTATATGTATTTATCATATCCCCCCCTCCCCCTGTTTCTATCCTAAGGTTGTGAGGTTGAGTTGTCTTAACCTGTGTGTATAGTAGAGGCCTTTCAATTCTGGTACTAATCGAGTTCCTTCTCAAGGTTGATAATACTTCACGAGGTGTAGGTTCCACATTTAGGCTGCAGACTCGTCTTGTGCTGTTGGTTTCCTCTACTGCATATGGCTGTGCAACAGCTTAGTTGGTTCTTTGGATTTGCCACAAAGTCATTCTCAATTTGCTGCTCTTCTGAATCTGATGTACTCATTCCTGGCCCTCTTGAGTATCTCCCTTTCTGGGGGGAGCCCCTTCAGCTTCCTGGAGCTATCCAGGCTGATTATTCCCTCGAGAATAAATCATATATTTTCATAAATCAAATTACATTCAATCTAACCTTGTAATATTTCTTAAAGAATATTGATTAGTAATAGATTCATTTCTAGTTAATAAATATATAGCTTTTTACTGGAAATATTTTATACAGTTATGATCAGCTGTTCTAGTAAATAAAGCGATGAACTGAATTAACACTCAATATTCTCGCCCATTTCACAGCATTTAATTTAAATTATTTGTGCAGCGAGAAATAATTTTCTGTTATATAAATCACGTTATTGTGACGTAATTTGACGTCAACCGTGTCTCCATCCATTCTTAAATTAGAATTAACTATAGCAAATAATTTCCCAAGTTTCCAACATTTGGCGCTAGCTAGTGTACATGCGCCACCAGTCGGGCAGGAGACTTGGCAAAGAGAAACACCATTGACGGTTTGGTGCCCTGAGACCGACCCTAATGTCGGAAAATTTGAGGAGCATCCGGGCATTAACAGACATCATTTTGATTCGGCAGCTTCAATAGTTTGCAGACACCACATCCGGCAGGGTGAAGTACCATTAACATATAGTTTTGGCCATCGCTCTGTTTTATATTGGTCCCCTGTCGTTAGAACATTTACCACCCGAAAAACACCCGTGAGTGTAACTCTTATGCCCTATCCATTTTAATTATTTGAGTAAATGTATCAATATATAGTCTCAAGTGGAAATTACATATGATTCATATTTCAGCATGGAGTTAGCGGCAAGGTAATCTTAAGTCAGCCTGTCGCCAGAGATGCTTGACAGGATTAAACTGGTCCTAGCTGCTGGACGCAATCTACGTTCAACTTTGGCAGCTAAGCCGTTCACTGTTTCCATTTGTAGTTAACATATTAACCCATGTCTTATCAAAAAAATTTATAATGATTTATGCATATGTTATTTCCATATAATCTGTGGACTAACATTATAGAATCCCCTTCCCCCCCCCCATTCCTGCCCAAAGGGTGTGTATGAGAATCTCTCCAAATTTAAACTGAAGTTTTACAGTCCACTTCTCTAAATTCATTGTGCATTAATTATTAAATTTATTATTATAAAATCCATAATTCATAGGTTTCAGAGCCACAAACATTTATACGGTTCTTATGAATCTATGAATGATACTACTGTATATGCTGGAGTAAAATTTCCCCACAGACGTCACATGTCGCTGCGTCGCTGTCTGCGCAGCTCCCCCTTCCCCCCTGGGAGGGGAAAGGGGGAGCCCCAGACCCCCGCACTAGCAATCCACACCTCAGATCTGAGGCCGATACTTTAGGCAAAGGTCGTGTGCTCTGGCTCCAGTGTTATTTCAGCGCTGTTCCATGTGTGTGGTGGCTGTCTTCTAGGTGGTGCGTGAGCCAGGAGTGATTCTCCAGTACTCGGGTTGCATGCACCTAGGGTTCCCTTCCCTAGGTGCCCAGTAAGTACTGCCCTTGGGACTTGGGGCTCCCTTCCACAAGTTCCTTGGCAGATCTGCCTCTGCCAAGCAGAGGGGATCTGCCAGAGGGGATCCCTCTGCCAAAAACCGAGCATTTACTGCTCGGTTTTTGGCCGCCCTTTGGGTGCTTGGGTGTTTTGTCTCCCTTGTTTACCTTAGGGTAAGGGGCAGTTTGCCCTGGTAAGGGGCACAGGGTACTGCGCAGCGTGTTTTCACCATTTATGATGCCCGGCTCTGTTCCGCCTGGGTATGCTGTCCTTTTTCGGGGGTTTCTTTTTCTTTTTGTTGCATTGCCTGGTGGGGGGGAACGGGGTCTGCCTTGGTTGTTGTCTCCTTTGTACATATACTGGTACTGTTGTCTTCTGGTGGTGTCCCCTGCATGGTATACACGTCCCGGGGGTTCAGCTATTCGAAAGTTGTTTGGTAGACTTTGGTGCCAGTTAGCAGTACCCTGCCTGGGAGTCTCTGAGCGTGAGTTCCGTCTCAGGACCCCTGGGAAACCCCACAGGGGCGAGCGGGTCCAATGGATGTGATCCCTGTGTCCCCTCTCGCTTTGTGTGAGTTCGAGGGGTTGCTCTGTCCCCTTGTCTCAGGGTGACTCACTGTTTTTGCCTCCGTCATACTGCCTGTTGGGTCTGTGACACTTTAGACCCAGAGTCCTGCGAGTTTTGCTGCTTGCTGGTGACTCAGTTTACCCAATCTACTGATGACATTCTTCGGGTACAGGCAGCGCAGGATCGTTAAGTTTAGTTTGTTGCAACGCACTAGATTGGTTGCTCACCCGGATGCCCCGAGGCTGTCCCGTTTTGCTTATAAGGACCCGGACTTGGCCTTGGTTCTATCCGTGCCCCCTTGTCCTTCACCTGCTGTGGTTCAGTCTGGCCCCCCCCCCCTGCTTCCGGCCCCAAAACATCTGAGGGTTTCGGAGTCGGGGCAGGGTATAGATGGTTGAGACTTGGGCAGTCTTGGAGAATGCCCCTTCCGGTGTGGTGCCGGAGGCATTCGAGTCGGTCCTCCCTGCCGAAGCCTCTGGGTCTGACCAGTGGGTCCCCCTTCCATCTGGCTTTTACGGCTGCACCGGCATTTTCTTTTGAGGCCGGGGCTTTAGGAGATGACTCGGCCCCGGGTCCTGATGTGAAGGATCCCAGGGCGAGGGAGGTGCTGACTTGGGGGCCTTGGGTCCCACTGGACCCCGCCTAGGTTTATTTATCCTCTAAGCAGGGCTTACTGCTTCAAGGAGTGGGGTTTTGTTTTCCCCCCTTTGCTTACGAATTGAATTTGGTGTCAGCCCCTCCCCGGGTTTGGTTCCGTGTCTCTTTGGGTGCTTTGGTCCCGTCTTTCCAGAGGTTTTCAGCTTCCAGTATCCTGCCTACTGTGGTGTGAGAGGCCTTTGCAGCTTACCTCCTGCACGACCCGGACTACGCCTCTATTATGGATCCGTCTTCATTCAGGTTTGGGTCTTTGTTTCCCTACTGGATCCGTTATAAGGTTCTGGAGTCGTCCTGGCTGGTGGACTGTCCTGTGTTTGCTTTGGAGGCTTGGCATACCTTATATTGTTCCCGCACGCTGGAGTGGAGTGAGGCGTTGATGGTGGTCCAGGTTTTCCTGGGGGGCGAGTTTGAGCACCAATGAGTGCTTGTTTGCCTCTGCCCTTGGGATGTTGGTGTTGTGCAGCTCCATGTGCAGGTTCTTTCCCTTTCGGCTGCACAGGTTGTTGAGGGCTTGAGCACTTGTGGCCTCTTGGCTTCGGGTTTCGCTTTTTTTCCCTCCTGGAGCCGTCTTCTGACTGGCTCGAGGATGTGGAGGCGCTTGGGGCTGTTCCTGGGTCCAATGCCGTGGGCTCTGTGGCTCGCTCGTCGTCTGCCTGGTTGAGGCTGTTTGCACCGATCCTGCGGGATGCGGTGTCGCTGTTTTACGCCTCACGGTTTGCGTGTCGGCTGGCGGTGCTGGCTTCCTACCTGGAATCTGCCTGGGCCCTGGCTCTTAGGATGTCTTCATCCTTCTGCCCCTTGCTGTTTGCTGATTCTGCGGTGGAGCAGTATTTGAAGGCGGCGTCGGCTAACTGTCGTCCCATGTCTGATTTGTTGGTTCTCTGCAGGTCCCTCCGGGGATGGGGGGGGAGCCTTCCCGGAGGGGTCGTGCCAGGGCTCAGGGTTTCGCTCGTAAGGGTGGGCCACAGAGTGCCAGTTTTGGAGCCGGCGCCTCCTTTGGAACCGCCTTCGTCTAGTCTGCGCGGTGTTCACTGTGCGAGGCTCGAGTTCTCGTAAGGGGCGCCGGCTCTTTGCGGTTCGTCCCATTGATGGGGCGATAGAGGGAGAGGCTTGCTCTGTTCACTCACGCCTGGTCTCAAGATTTGTGGACTTATTGGGTCATTTCCGACAGTCTGCGGTGGCATTGGGTGGCTCCTCCTCCTTTGTGGGGCTCAGGGCTGACAGGGCAGGCCTCTTCCCCTGCGCTCTGCTGAATTATCTTGCAGTGGGTACGCTTGGGCGTGGTCGAAATGACGACGTCCCTTGGGTGGGTCTTCCGCCTGTTTCCAGTCCTGAAACGGGACTGT